CAAAGCAGAAAGAAGTTAATCTATTTCTGCACAATGTTAAAGCTGGACTATTTGGGCTCCTAGAGACAAAGATTAAGAGAAACAAGGCCCAACAAGCCTCTCTTAATCTTTGTAATGGGTGGTCATTCAATACAAATTTACACAAACATCCTAAAGGCAGAATATGGTTATTATGGAAACCTCACATCTATGAGGTTGATATAGTAACAGTAACAGCACAACTGATTCATTGCCAAATAAAACACAGAGGGAGTAATGAGAGAATGCACATAACAGTGGTGTATGGGTTCAATGATCAAGGCCTTAGAAGAGATCTGTGGGAGGAACTAAGCAAAATCCATAGTCAAATTCAAGGGCCATGGAGTGTAATGGGGGATTTCAACTGTGTATTATATAAGGAGGAAATGATAGGAAGCCCTGTAACAGTAGCTGAAATAAGGGACTTTAAGAGATGTGTAGAGAGTTGTGATCTACATGATCTTAAATCTACTGGTTCCTATTTTACTTGGAACAATAAGCAGGAAGGAGATGACAAGGTCATGAGTAAGATAGACAGAGTGCTGGTCAATAGTGAATGGACATCAAACCTCCCAGCTTCCACAGTACATTACATGGAAGAAGGGCTGTATGATCATTGTCCTGCTTTCCATACCAAATGTAAAGTGTTGCAGATGAATCATCTATGCTTTGCAGATGATGTGCTAATGTTCTGTAAAGGGGAGTACCAAGCTATAGTCCTAATGTTAAGAGGACTACAAAGCTTCTCAAATGCATCAGGACTAACTACTAATGCTGCCAAGTCTAATATATTCAGTGCAAGCATGGAGGAACAGGATTTACAAAACCTATGTGAACTAACAGGCTACAAGAGGGGAACATTACCATTTAGGTACCTTGGAGTGCCTATCTCACCAAAGAAACTGACAATAATGGATTGTGAAGTACTTGTGGATAAGATGACTGTGAAGATCAAAAGTTGGGGCACAAGGAACTTGTCATATGCAGGGAGAGTCCTATTGGTGAATACTGTGCCGATGCATATACACACATACTGGGCATCTATCTTTGTTCTGCCCAAGAAAGTGATAAAAAGTATTATAGGGGTATGTAGATGCTTCCTATGGGATGGGAAAGTCTACTCCAACAAGCCACAACTAGTAGCATGGGACTTGGTCTGCAGAACAAAAAGGCAAGGAGGACTGGGAGTGAAGGATATTGTAGTATGGAATGAAGCAGCTATAGCTAAATATGTATAGAATATAGCAGCAAAAACAGACAACCTATGGGTGAGATGGGTGAACCACATATACTTAAAAGGAAGGGATTGGTGGCAATATAAAGTACCTACAGACTGTAGTTGGTACTGGAGGAAGATATGTTCTATAAGAGATAAATTTGCTGGGGGGTATATACAAAACCAATGGCTTAAGGCTAATGGAGTATATACTATCAAGAGTGGTTATGACTGGATGAAAGGGGCCAAGGAGGACTGGCCTTGGCGAGGCTGGGTATGGAATAAGCTGAACATACCTAAGCATAGTATGATATGCTGGCTGGTGGCACACAACAAACTCATGACAAAGGAAAGGGTGTATAGAATGGGCATCAGTCAAGACAGTTTGTGTGAGATTTGTGGAGGAGCAGAAGAAATAATTAATCATTTATTCTTTGACTGTCCACTGGCGAGGAGATGTATAGAAGACATACAGAAGTGGCTAAATATAGGTACGAGGAATCTGGAGATACAGGAGCTGGGAAGAAGAATGACCAGGAAGATTAAGGGGAAAGCATGTAGGGCTGTGGTGATAGCTGCACTATCAGCAACTGTGTATCACATTTGGAGAGCTAGAAATATAGCATTCTGGGAACACAAGGTGGTTCAACCTGGGCAGCTAATAAAGCAGATTAAACAAGATTGCAAGTTAGGAGAAAGGGAAGCCATAAGAAGGAGCCATACAAGCAGTGAGAAGGAATGGATAGAAAACATCTTTAAAGTAAATGTATAGATGAGAGGTAAATAATTGTTAGGAAGGATAGTTAGAGAGTAGACTAATTGTAATTGAGATGTAAGTTTGAAAAGAGATTTATAAAAAGTTTTTCGTTCGACCAAAAAAAAATTTTTTACTTATGCATGCATAGTCAACCCATCTAATTATGTGATTTTGTCTAATTTTATCTTCAAGGTCTGCTACATGCACCCTCTATTAGGTATGAGTATTCTTGATCTTGCTATATGAACTGCATCTGATTTAACATTCGTATTTTTACAACAATCATCATACATATGGATATATGTAGGGTCTTAGAGGTCAACTTATATTTTTAGTTTATCGTCCGATATCTGTTACCAGCTTTGCACCTCGACTAATCCCGAAACTCATTAAAACAAGTGTTCCCTATTTTATAGGCTTTAATCCAAAACCTCTAATTAATGGTGGAGAAATTCTATCCAATTTTCACTCTCGTGTTAGATAATTGGTCTTACTATACATAGAAGTTTTATTTTTCACTTTATTAAATATATCACATAGACGGCTATATATAACTCTCGCGTCCTATATATAACTCTCCTCCAAATGAACCTTCATAAATTAATTACGTGTTATATCTCCATCTGTCTCGTCTGGTCAATTTGTATATCTGAATTGTATACATTTAAATATCATAATCCTATTTAATCTCACTTTTCTCTTTCAATATTCTTAAAAGGACTAGACTTATGTGCATATAACATATCTTTAATTTCTGGTATATTCTTATGATCTATATATCGGCTTTCTATAGTTCAAAAAATGTTTAAAAATGCAATGCCTAGGGGCTAGGGCCCTGGAAAGACATCTTACACTGTGGATGTTGAGGATGGCATAACCTAATTAGCTAGCTGTAATCCATGGTTTAGACAATAATATCTCAGGGCTTTACTAGATATTTCTAGCATTTGATCTTTAAGAATGATTTGACTTATACACTAATTACAACGTAATATATTTGTGCCTCAGTTACAAATTACTATACTTATAAAAATATTTATTATGTCGTCACTGCATGAAATTTAAACTCTATTAAGAATAGGCATAAATTCGGGAGAAATTCAAAAATAACCAGATTTACAAGTGGTCGTTCAAAAATAGCCCAGTTTCAAAAGTAATCGAAATCTAGCCACTTTTCATGTAAAGGTAAATCTGAGCGAAAACACTGTTCAAAATCCGGAAAATACGCCAGTATATTATGTTGGAGTTCCAGCATAAGTATACTTGAACTCCAGCATATTATACTGGAGTTCCGGGATAAGTATGCTGGAACTCCAGCATAATATGATGGAGTTCCAGCATAAGTACACTAGAACTCCAGCATAATATACTGGAGCTCCAGCAAAGTATACCGGTCCAGTATAATATGCTGGAAGTTCATACATAAGTGCTCGAATCTCCAGTATATTATGCTGGAACTTTCCGTGTGTTGGAGTTCCAGCATAGTATGCTGGAAGTTCATACACATGTGCACCGAACTCCAGTATATCATGTTGGACCAGTCTCTGTTGCAGCAAAATAGTTGTTATTTTTCATTGACTTGATAAACGCTGGCTATTTTTGAATGACCAATCCGAAAACTGGCGAGACCGTGCTATTTTTACCATAAATTCACTATCAGATGGCAGCTCGTTAATTAAGTGACTAATTGGACCTAGTGGGTTCCAATATAATGTGCTTTATGAGTTGTAATCGACCACTAATTAAGATGTTAGGTTTTAGTTGAGAGATGTACGGAACTCTTTAAACTTGTTAATTGATGTTTGGATGTCACCTCTTCTCCTTTGATATAGACATTTCAAATGATCTAAGCTTTACATTGTTTTTCTTTTGAAGAATAATTAATTGTTTTGTATAACATAGGGAATACAAACTTTAAAAGAAAGATTTGAGTTTATAAACAAAATAAAAAGGAAAAGATTTCTGGCTAAGAAACAACGGCAAATTTTAATTCTACAGTCACTTGGTTAAAAATGAATATGATCATATTATGGTCATTGAGATTTTTTGCATTTGTTTTATATTTTAATCTTGCTACACTTCTTTATACGAGATAATAATATACCCCCACGATAGTAAAAGGGAAAGAACTACAATAACGTCCAGTAAATTACGTTCAATAACCTTGAAAATGGTTGGTCTGGCCTTTTTGACTCCACTGGCCCCATAAACAAATATTTAAGGTCAAAAGTCAAAATTGTTGCTATGGGACAAGCGAGAGGCAACATTTATTAAACTTGAAATTCTTGGACAAGCAGGATAAAAAAAGTAAAAATAGCACGGTCTAGCCAGTTTTTGGACTGGTCATTCAAAAATAGCCAACGTTTACTAAGTCAATGAAAAATAGCCTCCATTTTGCTGCAACAGAGACCGGTCCAGCATAATATACTGGAGTTCGGTGCACGTGTGTATGAACTTCCAGCATATTATGCTGGAACTCCAACACACGAAAAGTTCCAGCATAATATACTGGAGATTCGAGCACTTGTGTATGAACTTCCAGCATATTATACTAGACCAGTATACTTTGCTGGAGCTCCAGTATATTATGCTGGAGTTCTAGTGTACTTATGCTGGAACTCCGTCATATTATGCTGGAGTTCCAGCATACCTATCCTGGAACTCCAGTATAATATGCTGGAGTTCAAGTATACTTATGATGAAACTCCAGCATAATATACTGGTGTATTTTTCGAGTTTTGAACAGTGTTTTCACTCAGATTTATCTTTACATGAAAAGTGGCTAAATTTCGATTACTTTTAAAATGTCTCCCGATAAAAAAAATCAAGATTATCCACTTCCAAGGCTACTCTTGCAAATTTCCAAAGAAACGGACTAAAACGGGCCCTGTTAGCAAATCTTAGTACTACGTAGGCCCAAGTAATCTTACTTGCACAAAGGCCCATATAGAGACCCATTGTAATCAGGCCGTACCCAAACAACAACTAGACCCGCTTGAACTTTCAAGAACATTCTCCAACTCTTTTGTTCCCACAATATCCGACCACCTTCGAACTGCTGACATTTCTCTCTACTACTAAGGCGCAAGATCAGTTTTTGGGACAAAAAAATTTAAGATTTTCTGGTAATAATTTAATCTATCTTTTAATGTTGGATCTACAATTCAACATTATGTTTATTTTTCACGCTTTCTTCCATGATTTGCAGGATTTTGGTGAAAGGTTAATAAGAATTGCACCTATGATTCGAACTGAAACTTTAGTTCCTGCTTTAACAAAATTCAAAACCATATTTCCAGCTGGAGGAAAATTGGGTAATTTTTCAATGTTATGCTTTCTTTATGTACGAGCACTAATTATATGATTACGTACATAGTAACAAATACTCACTCCACTTTATTTAGGTTTTTGTCTAGATACAAGTTTATGTGTTAATTTGACTTATATTATATTAGTGGTTGTAGAAAATATGTCTAACTAATATGTCCCTAGGTTCCAATTTATGTGGCACTATTTTCCTGTTAGTTCATTCCAGGAAAAATGACATATTTCTATATCTGGATATAATTTAATCATTTAACTTTAAACTACTTTTATATACCCAAATATTGTGGCATGTTTAAGATTACAAGTTTCAAAAGTCGTCATTTCTTTATTAAACCTGTTGCCGATCAAACTGTGTCACATAAGTTGGAACAAAGTGAGTATGAAATGTCAGTTTGATAGAAAAATTGGCGCGGAAATGTTTAAAATATGACATTTTAAACGAATTTGAATTCTTGAATCTTTTGAAAATTGTATAAAATAATATTATCACTGGATTTGTGTCGAGTATATTAGGAGCATTCCTAATTAAAAGAGTGTCATATTAATTTGGATAAAGATAGAATTGTTATTACAAATGTACAAGAAAATTGTAGTTAAAGATATTGGTGTTTGACTACTTGATTTACTGTTGTATTCGTTTTGATAAACTGAATAATGGCAACATTGATACAGTTGGAACAATGATCCCTAAGAAGCAAGCAAGTGATGATGCCGGAGAAGCCCAAATGAAGGCGGAGAACATTGAACCCCTTGTTGCTTTTAGCAGGCCGCCTCCAATCCCTCCTTTCCTTGGACCTCTAGTTGCTCTTTCATTGCTTGAATCATGGTCGAGACGAGATAGCAAGGACGGTTAACAGCTGACATGGTTAATGCCATATGCCTTCTTCTACCTATAGAAGTAAGAAACTTTTGAAGGTTTTAGAGTCATGTTAAATGTGAAGTCTATCTTGTCTACTATCTTTATGTAGGAAAAATAAGTCGTTGAAATGTTGTTCTGTTTCTTGGAATTGGCAAGCTGTGCATATCTTCTACTTATTGAACATCTCTATAATGTAAAGGAATAACTTGTAGATAAGTGTAAGAATGGTGATTGTGATACTCCATAACTTGCGGTACCAGGCAATAATTGGACTTATGCTTGGCTTGAGAGTCATATCGTAGATAGTTGGTACCACTTGGGGATTCATCAAGAAAAACCCTGCATAGGAAATTTTTTTGGCCCCGTTGAGAATATTTTCTTCTCTTGTTGGTGAAAGTATAAAGAATATTAAAGAAATTAACATACATGCTGCCTCAGGGAAAGTATCAAATACTGAAATGACTTTCTGGAACACATCCTGCTTTTTGTCAAGAACATGAACATTAATGAAATAGGAACTGAACAAAGACTTCATATTGATGAATTTGATTGTATAATTTGCGCTTTTTCTGAAATTTAGAAGATTGGTGATGTTCATACCAAAGCAAAGCTTCCTGGTTTGATTGGTGATTCAATGATTACTTGAGCTTTCCTGTATAAATTGCCATTTCTGGAACGTTTAGTACTTGTGCAGAGGACAAGCTATAGTCTTAAAATTAACACGTCTTCAGAAAAGTTTGAAGTTTACTTTATAACGAGTTGTTCACCATCTCTTGATAACTCGTAGCAGCTGCAGCCTCTAGTGAAAGGAACCTGTTTCTTCTTCCACTCTATATTTGCCAAAATATAGTTTCTCAAGTTTCAATTTATATGCATTTTGACTAGACGTGAAAAATAAGCGATTTTGGCCTTACCTAAGTGCCAGTTTACAACAGTTGTAAGGTGAACTCCCTCATAAATTTGTTCAATGCAGAACTTTGTGTTCTTACCCATGCATGCGGTTAGTTTCTCCAGAAATTTCAAAGCCTCCTACATAAATTATGCAAATAGGACAAGAATTGGACAATACAGTTTCATGTTTCTGAGATAAACGATAGAGGTTACCTTTCTCCCTTTGAATGGTCGAGTATAGGAGAAATCATCAAAGAAACAATCTTCAGATATGAGCAGTGCTAGTTGGTTCAGGTCATTGTTGTTGATACTAGAGTAGAATTTCTTGATTGTTTCGGATGTAGAACATGGACTCGTGTCATTATCAGGATGTGACATTGAAAAAGGATTTGACATTGAAAATGTGACCAAACAGTTAGATTTTCTCTTGATGCCTCGTATATCAAGTTTTCGTTGTGATAGTATTTTAACTGGTTCATGGTTAGTCTTTAACAGAGAGATGCTCTGGCTACGGCTAAACTCTGGTTTGGACCATAAAATATGTTGGAGAAGTTGGCCTGAAAATGCCATTTTTAATTGATATAGCAGCACTATAGAAACTATGCTAATCTATTTATTAAACCATGATTGAGAAAGTGTAAAGACTTTGGTTTATGCCTTGGCATTGAGGAAAGGAATTGTTGGGGTGTACCTATTCCTTCCCTAAAATTGTTGCCTTGATGTTCTCTGCCTTGCTCTGTACCTGAGGAAAGGAATTGCACAAGATAACACTAGGTTGCCTTATTTCTTGGTTTATTTTCTTATCCTATTCTTTATTATTTTCTTTTCCTTTTTTTTTTTGGGGGGGTGCATTTTAGCCGTTTGCTCTTTTAAAGTGCGGAAAAGGGCTTAAACTACCCCTATTGTTTGGTAAATGGTTTATATTTACCCTCCGTCCACCTGTCAATCCAAAACACACACCACATCTATCTATTGGTCCAAAAATACATACCACATTATTTTTATTAATAAAACTACCCCCACGTTTAACGGAAGCAGATGTGGGCCTTCAAATTAATGTGTTGGCGTTGGGCCACGTGACTATTTCTATCCAGAAATCAAACATGGGTCTAATATCCGTTCATTAATCTAATCCGACCCTATTTATTTGACCCGCCTTATAATTTTACTTTTTTTTTTTCTTTCCTCTTTATCACCTAACACACCCACCTAACCCTTCCCCCTCCCCTTTTTTCTTCTTCTCCCAGCCTTGAAAATCAACAATAATTTCCTTCGATCCACTTTCCCTTTTCATTATTTTCAGTTCATTTTTTTCATTTTTCACTTCACAAACCACTGCCCCGCCGCTGCAATCCCTTTAAAACATCGCCGTGATACTCTCTTTCCAGCTCACTTTATATTAGTAGCTTAGCTATTGATCTTCAAATTTCAATAAATCATCCACCCAATTCATCAGGTCCTCGATTTACAATGATGGGTAACGCCCATTAAATTCAGTCTTTCTCTCTCTCAAACTCGACCCAATTTTGTAGGCTCTCTACACCTCTTTAGCTAATTCTAACCAAAATCTATTTTTTCGTCTATCGAAATCTCAAAACCCTTTTTTCTATTTTCGACCCTTACGCACAATTTTGCTCAACACCAACAACCTTGAATAACGGCGAGGCTGATGGAAAAGATTATGTTTTGGTAAGTAAAGAAGAGTTTATTCAATAATTGAGATATGAGGTATTGGAAAATTCCTTTGTATATGGGGATTCTAAGAATATTACCGAAACAACAAATTAGGGGTCAAATGGCGGGTCAAATAAATAGGGCGTGTATATTACACTCGTATGTATGAAGTGAAACCAGGCGTGGCCCAATAAAACATTGTCACCGCATTAAAAGTAAGGGTGGGCATCGGTCGGTTCGGTCCGGTTATGAATGTTATCGGTTATCAATTTAAAAATTTGATTAACCGATAACCGAACCGATAAGGTATCGGGTATCGATTATCGATCATTATCGGTTCGGTTATCGGTTTACCCGATAAGATAACTGAATCTAGAGTTAAGCAAAAAAGAGAAGACAATTCACTGGAGTTAAGCAAAAAAGAGAAGAATTCATATAGTATACTACCCATTTCTGCATTCTGTCAAGTAGCCACAACTGGAACAGTACTAATACATTAATAATAATACAAAGTAGTAGCAATTTCACCTTAAAATTAACAAGTCCAAACATATAGTACTAACAGTTCAAATTCAAGTTAACAAGACAACAACTACTCAATCCGTATAGGCTTCACCGAAAAATCAGTGGATAAATACTTATCAAACTGCAGCAATTCCCACAAAATGCTCCAATGCATTAGCTTCCCCCTCTGATATGATAACAACAATAGTTGTTTAGAATTTTTATTTCACACAATACCTGCACTTCCACAAGCGTTGAAGCCCTCAAACAGTTCAAGATAAACTGGATGATGTTTGTCAATTGCCTAACCTGAAAAAAGAAACCATAGAGCAATCCCTATATGAAGATGAATTTTGTTATAGAAATTAAAAGCCTAATGTATAAGACTAAAGACTTACGCTAGGAATAACTAGTAACGTCTATCAAGAATGAAGATGAAGCAACTGAAGAGTGCGGCTGAGAAATAATAAGAGAGAATGAACCGAAGCCCTAGCATATGTATATACTTAAGGGTAAAGTCGTAATTTTATTAATTCTTATTGGGTTATCGGTTAAGCCATTAACAAAATTGAAAAACCGAGACCCGAACCGATAACCCAATAGTAAAAAAATTATAAACCGTTTCCGGACCGTTAATCCAATACCGACAACCCTATAAACAATTAACGGTTCGGGTTATCGGTTTTACCCGATATATGCCCAACCCTAATTAAAAGTGGCTCCACATTGCTGTTGTTAGACATAGGGGTACTTTATTAATAAAAATAACGTGGTGTGCGTTTTTGGACTGATAGTTGGACGGAAGGTAAATGTAAATTATTGATCAAACAATCGGGGTAGTTTTAATCCTTTTCCGTTTAAAGTATTTTAATTTAAAAATGTTGGTGTCATAGGGGTTGCTTGGCAGGAGGATGTTAAGCAAATGGATAGGCAAGCATCAAAAATAAAAATAAAAATAATAAAAAGAATTTAAGAGAAGGCCGTATTCCGTTACATAATTTAATCTTAATATTTGAACCTCGCTTTCTAGGTGAAAATCTGTTCTGGACACTGGAAAATTGTCACAAGATGGAGAGGAAAAGATGTCTAAATACAAGAAATCAATGAAATTGACACTACACAAAACACTCTAAAAGCCTTGAGGTCAATCTCCTGTCATTGTTATCTCGCGATCATTCATGCTTTCCGTACATCACACATTTTTTTAAGTTATGACCATCTTTAGCTCCTGTGGACTAGGATTTTGGGGCGGAATTTGAAGGTGGAGTGGCGACCTTGGCGAATATGGCCGCCAGCGAATGCAACGCCATGGCTGCTATCCTTGTTTTAACTTGCCCTCTCTTAGGAAGTGGCCTTCGACCTTTGATCTTCTTGTCAAATAACAAAGAAGTTGTTTCTACATCGTTTATTTTAGGCGCCATATGATAGGATTTGATTCTACAAGCGGTTCAATACAAACGAAGAAATTTCGAACAAAAGGATTAGACTCAACGCCTATCGACAAGAAACAAAGTGTTTTGACAAATACAATTGCATGAATTAGGAGTATATATATAAAGCACAAACATTGCTTACTCATTCAAGAAACAGCGCCCTTTTTCGTTGTAGCTACATTACTAGGGTAGCTAATGACAAAAGGACAATTTGTTAGCAACCTTTTGTAGTAGGTTCATCACACTAGGTAAGGCAGCAGGGAGGCATGACAGATTGACAGCTAAATTTTTCTTGACCAGAAAGATTCCCTATGAGGATTCTAGTATAGTATTTATTTTCAATTATTAGTTGACTATATATTAAGTTAACAAATCCGTTTGTCAACCAATTACTTGTGTACACAATATTTGGCTACTAATTAATCATTTCTTAAATACAATTTAGTATATATATATATAGTGTTAGCTAATGAGATGAAGATTGGCATGGATTCATCGTAGCTTGCTTGTTAGGCACTATGTATTTTTTTTTTCTATGACCCACATAGGCAAGGTGGTCAACCCTATCCTATAAAGTGAAACGATAAAAAAGTTGGTTTTATGTTCATTAAAATAAAGTTATTACCCGTTGTATATTGTATGCTACTCCTTATAACATGAGAAAGAACCGTCACTTGGATTTATTTTATGACTTGAGTTCTTATTTAGAATTCTGGTATACGTATAGTTTAATTTTTTTTACCTACTGTAAGCCTCCTATTTCATGTTTATATGGATAGATCATGTTCTACGAAGCTCACATAGGCGGGATTGTGTGAACAATTTTTCTTTCTATTGAACTTGTAGGTAGGGGTGTACAAAGGAAAACCAACCCGATAATCCGAGTCAAACCAAGAAAAAAAATCCGACTATGGTTTGGTGTTGGAAAAAAAAAATCCGACCATAATTGGTTTGGTTTGGTTTTAACTAAAGAAAGTCAAACCGAAACCAAACCAACCCGACATTACATTAATAGAAATTTTTGATATATTTAATATATAAATATACTTATTGTGATGTAATTTATAAATATTTCTTAAAAGATTTCATAATTTTATCTTTTGAGGTATTTTTTCAAGGTTGGACTTAGAACTTTTGAACGTTCCAATAAGTTATAGAGAAATTTTCATAAAGCACTATCTTTTAGTGGTAATTAGCTATCTATAGATAACATTTGCTATATTACGCCCTGTAGATACGTTTTAAGTTTTTATAAGATATATTTGATGTATTTAGACTACTGTATTCATGAATACAATAGGAAAAATGGGTGTGAATCATGGAAGTCCAGCTAATCAATTGTTGTATTCAACTGTATTCAAGAGTTGTATCATTGAATACAGTAACGTACATTCCTTAAAAAAGGGACCTTCAACTGATTTAAAACGGAAAGGAAATCAATCTAGCAAATAGTCTCCTAATATAACTCAACTAACATAATTATATCACCCATAATCTATATTTCTCCCTTCATTAAAGATTTTCCATCCGAAAGTATCATAAAACAGAGCAAATCGTGGATTCTCAATTCTCCCTTCTTTCTTTTCAGTTTCTTTGTTACAGTTCGTATAAAACAAATTTCAACCAAGAAAACTCGAGATTGATACAATTATATGCAGAAATACGTTGAAATTTGATTTTGCATATGACTACATCAATGTACCCCTAAATCACATGAATTTTGTTCCATGGAGTTATTTTTTCCGTTAAATTTAGTTATGGATATAAATTTACTTATGTCTGTGCAGATTCCTAATGAAGTTGAATAATGAGACGGTCTCCATTGAGCTCAAGAACGGCACCGTTGTTCATGGAACTATTACAGGTATCTCTTTTTTTCGCCTACCTATCAGTCTCTCCATTGTGCGTTTTTTATTGATTATGTATTAATAATACATGTATTGTTGTGGAGCATTACGCTAGTACAGATGAATTGAATGTAAATTCAAATTGTATGTATATGTATTTAGCCGTATTTGTGAAAGGTTACTTGACCTTCACTGTTGTTCTTTTTTTATTTTTTATATATTAATAATACATGTATT